TTCCAAAGCATTCCAACGTTCATTCCAAATTGGAATGGACGCTATTTGGTCTTGTGAACCCAACTCACTCAGTCACTCTATCACTCACTGCGTCGAGGGTGTCATCATGAAAATCCATGTCATTCAAAGAATATTTGTATCGACTACTGTTTTTAATCATAGTATATTTCTTTATTTTAAGTGTTGGTTTATATTGCATATAATTGCCGGCAACTAGATCATGATGGATGGTGTAAATCCTGCTGGGGTTCCATGCAGGTAGCAGAAGTACAGGAGTGAGTGAGTGAGTATGGTTTTACGCCGCTTTTAGCAATATTCCAGCAATATCACAGCGGGGGTTACCAGAAATTGGCTTCACACATTGTACCCATGTTGGGAATCGAACCTTGGTGTTCAGCGTAAGGAGCGAACGCTTTAACCACTAGGCTACCCGACCACCCCAGAAGTACAGGACGTCCGCATGGTCCATGGTATGGTGGCCTAACATTAGTTGTTGGTGATCCATAGCCAGTTATTCTATTGCATTGTCCTGTCATAGACTGATCCTTTTTCTGTTCTAAAACTAGTTATATTTATAATTTATATTTATATATTACTAGTTGTTATACTGTCCTTCGATAACAGTTTTAGATGCAATATAATGCATAACTCAGGGTTCATGTTTTGGTGGAAAACAAGATGACAACCTCCACAACATTTTGTTACCATGTGCGCTGGAGAATAAATTTGTGACACTTCGAACATACACTTCGTTTCATGGTCCCGCGAGGCAGATCCATTCTCAGGTGCTCCCTTTGGAAGCGCACCTTATTGTCACCATGTTTCCTTCATAGATACATTCCACCTATGACAACAAATATGTCTGAACTATTAATTTTTCCGCGTGATATGGGATTCCCCGGCCGACACTGCCCTCCTAAATCATTGAGAAGGAAAAGGACTTCACCATTCTCAAAATGGCCCTGATAACCTGGTCAATGTCCATACTCATTTAACCGAACAGTACAAGTATCGGCTGTTGCTTGATAGACTAAGGGGAAGAGCCAAGGTTTTAACATAACCATACATGTATCCATCACAGCTTTACTCTAAAGGATAAGTACGGCTAGCCTCGCCAATTAGTTCAAAGTGTGCTTGGTGCAATTTTGAGTGTGCCCTTTGTAAACGTTTGGGGATAAGGATGCATTTGAGAACTTGGCCCTTGCTGTAATTCACTGGTTGTGATGTGGACAGCGTATTGAGTTAGCTAGCAATGAGCTTAAGACACAGCTTCATTAAACACTGTATCAAGAAATGTGGAATAGGGGAAGACTCAATTCAAATCTACATTCTTTCTCATTTCACTGATTGGCTTCAGATTAAGTCGCAAGCTAGACGTCTTTCCAGTCAAGTCATCTCGTCATGTCATAGCAATGGCAACTGACCAGACAAAGGTAACCGGACGTGTACAACGTGGAAAAGGGAACCCAACCTTCATGGCTTGTAAGCTTACAAGGCCTGACTCACAGAAAACAAATATCCAGGCCCTATGACCCAGTAGAGTAGGGACAAAGGTGATGTCCATGTTCAGAGCCTACTGCCCTTACTTTTCATCCTCAATACACTATTTGAACCCTTGTAAGGCGTATAAGAAACTCTCATTAGACCAAGCTGTCAACTGGATGAAAACGAAAACCGTATATATATATATTCAGATTAAGTAGAGAAACCATCAGTTCATGTTGACCAACCCTCCAAACCATGCTCTGTCATGTTGAAAGTTGAAAGTTGTCCTTCGTGGTCCAAGTGGTGAGAGAGAAACGAATGCCATATTACATCACAGGTCACGGTGAACTATTTTGACGGCAACTGCAAACAAGCTTAAACCCAGGGGATGACATCCGCATGACAACAATTAGGAATAAATCTTACCATTGTACTGGGAAGAGTGTCAATCACTACTTATCACCAGGGGATTCTTTACCGATTCAGTTTCCTGTTTCAAATGCCTTCACATCACCTTCCCTCTGCCTCTTGAAATACACCTATCCAGTGGAGGATTTGCAGTGGGCACAGATGAGAGATTATCCTCTACCCCCTATCTGCAATGCACAGCCAGTGATCCTGATTGGTTCGGATGATGCTGACCTTATTCTCCCACAGGAACCTGTGTGCTTAGGGCCAAAATGAGCTTCAATTGCTGTTCATACTTGATTGGACTTTAAAAGGGTCAGTCGACATGCACTTACCTTGGATGTCACAGGGGCTAAACAGTGTCTACTCACTTCCAGTCTTTACTGTGTTTAGCTTTGGAATAATGTTTAGGAACTAGGGCAGATAGATGCTGTTCCGAATACAGAAAGGGATGTGACCAGGTCAAAGTAGGCCAAGCAAGCCTTGGACACTTTAGAGACGTTCACCTAAAGAGTTGAGATTCATGAAGTTGTTCGCCATGCAACATTCTTGTTGACAATTAGAATTACAGTTTTTTTTAATGTCACCTTGGAATCTGTGAAGCAGAATCTCATCTGCACAGAAAGGCGACTTCAGTCAAACACTGAACTAGCTGAGATACACAAGGAACACATACAGAAATTGGTAAATGCAAGTTACATGAAGTTTATACTGTGTTTCCGGCCATGGTCCACCAATGAATTCACCAATTTAACTATGAATGGCAAATACTACCATTCGGCACCACCTGTTGTTATTGCTGTGCAATACATGCGCTGCAGACACATGATCACAAGGAGGTAAATGCTGATGTGTTCAGATCGGTCACCACAGCTTTTTATGTAGACAACTGCAACTGTCTCAACAGCGTTCCCACTGCATCAGAAGCCAAAGATTTAGTACATGACATGAGTGTCTTACTGGATAAAGGCGGCTTCCACAGTGGATTAGTAACTTTACCTCAGTCATGGTTGATTTACCTACAAAGGACAAGGCAGACAATTCTGAGCGTTGGCTAAGTCTTGGAGAGATAGGACTTACTAGGGGAAACTTGGGACTCCAGTGGCAATGTTATAGTCATGTACTTGGATACAGGGTCAAAGACATGAGTCATGATAACCTCACCATGAAAGTCAAATATCGAATCTTTGCCAGCCAGTATGACTCCTTCGGATATTTAACTCCCTTCACAGCAAACGCGGGTCATAGTCCAAGATCTCTGGAAACTGATGAGAGATTGTGATGTCCCTATGAAGGATGGAAGTGAGTATGAGAAGTGATGTTCATGGGAGGAGGATCTGCTAGACATCCAGAAGGTGAATCTACCACGTTGCTACACTTCTCATGATGTTGATGCATCAAGTTCAGTTCAACAGCTGCTTATCTTCCCTGGTGCCTCCGATTGTTTCTATGGTGAAGTTGCCTTCCTTCGGACAGTGATTCAAGGGACCGTCTATGTCAGTTTTCTTCAAGCCAGATCCAGAGATGCTCCAAAACGTCAACTTTCTATACTTCAACTCGAGCTTTCAGAAGCACTTAGAGAACTTACCTCACCAACTGAAAGTGTCACCTTGTGGAGTGATTCAACAACAGTTCTCGCTTGGCTGAAATCTAATTCCTGCAGGTAAAAGTATTTATTGGAATGAGGGTTGCTGAGATTGACACTCACAGATTGGCCGTACCTGAACACCAAAGAGAGCCCCGCTGATGATCTAACTGGAGGCAAGACCCTGAAAGAGCTTACCTATTCTTCTGCTTGGAAGAATGGTCTAACCTTCCTTCTTCAACCACAAGCAGAGTGGCCGCCTGACATAGTCACAAACGCCCCCATCGAGGACACGAGTCAAAACTAACTTTTGCACAATGCCCGTGACTGAAAACTCAATGATTCGAGATGTGAGCCAGAACAGTACCTGGAGAGAGTTTTTGGTGATACCATGCAGATGCTTAACAGGACAGCCACAGACCCTCAATCATCTTTTGATCAATAAAAACAGAGATGTTATTATTTCATCAAGTCCATAGCGACTGCTCTCATGAGGAACTCAGTGCCCTTCAGTCCCATAAGAAGTTGCCCACAGACAGTCAGCTTGCTCAGTTAAATCCTGTCTATGATACTGAAAGCAATGTTATCCGTGTAAGAGGGAGACTGCGGAAGGCAGAATCTCTTTGTTGTGATGCCAAACATCCAGTTCTTTTTGTTCCTAATCATTTGATAACTCAACTTGTCTTCAAGGATTTTGATGAAAGACTGCTCGACTACGGTTCTGAGCGAATTATGGCCGAAATCAGGCGAAAATTCTTGACATACGTTAACATCAGCGTCCACAGGAGTGGACTGTTTTGGGCCATTGACAATCAAGATAAGACGGCTCACAGAGAAGAGATGGGGAGTAATCTTCCAGTGTATGATAACACCTGCAGTACATCTTCACTAACTTGACAGTATGAGTACACACGCCTTCCTGATGGCATTCCAGTCCTTTGTGGCTTGTTGTGGCAAGCCCCATGAATTCTCAGATTGTGGCAGCAATTTCAAGGGTTTAGAAATAGAGCTGAGTGAAACTTGGATGACCATGGAACCCACTTTAACATACCAACTAACTAGATTCAATGTGAAGTTCCAGGGAGTCACCAGACCTGTGGCAAGATTAATCCATCTACTGGAGAGTAAAGACGATGATGTCAAATAACTCTTACTGTGAAGATGAAGATATTATTAAGTGACTGTGACATTCATTTTGTGTAAAAGCAAATTTTGTCCCAAAACGTAGGGGCGGCTGTGTTCTGAAGGATACTACAGATTATGTTTGTTCTACTTTTACTTTTTACTTTCTGCATACCATTCCCAATTTTCATAGGTTCAAGTTTTGGTAGGAAACAGGATGGCAGCCTCCAGAACATTCTGTTACCGTGTGCCCTTGACAATAAACACTTCAAACATACACGAATTTTACTATGCAAGTATATATAACATTCGATGTTGTGGTGCTTGTTGCGGTGTATCATACAGATAATAATCTTCCGTGCATGCCTCTGCTAATATGCCAGTGACCTTGTCTTCCCAGGTATTGGCATTGGAAGTATTATCCAGGTCGCCATCTGCCTGCCCTACTACAACATCCTCCTGGCCTGGCCAATCTACTACCTGGTGCAATCGTGCTCCTCCGTCCTGCCCTGGACGATGTGTGGCAACTGGTGGAACACGGACCTCTGCGTAGAGGACATCTCACTTCTCAGAAACTTGTCCACCAATTCCTCTGACGTGATGAACTCCCTGGCTGGCGTCAATGGTACCGCTATCAACACTGCTGCACAATGGGGGAACGCGACCCTGGCTCACACGGCTGTGGAGGAGTTCTATCAGTCAGTATTAGTGAACGTGTGCATGAAGCAGTACACGTGAATGTCAGTCAGTATATCCAATGCGAACATTAAACGATGTTTAACTAAATTATATAAACAATGATATTAATTTCTACGTCATATTTCCCATATCAGAAAAGATATGAAAGTAGGAGATTCCATCACATAAATACATGTAATTATTTCATATCTAGCAATAAATATCTTGTATTATACAAGCATTAGATAAATATCGGAGTTGAAATTAATTATTTTACATTTATTTTAGGTACAATGTTCTACGTATTTCAAATGGAATACATGAAGTTGGATCCATTCAGTGGCATTTAGTGGCCTGTCTCTTTGCTTCTTACATCATTATATTCCTCTGCATATTTCGTGGAGTGAAAGCAACCGGAAAGGTGAAACTGTTCGACTGTACTATTACAACAAAGAAAAACAGACATAGAGACATCGTCATTACATTCATAATATAACAATAAAAAACTATTTTTGTTGCAATAACAGACCAAACCAAAACCAGCTGAAAGTCAGGGTGTGCATGAATATTGATATATCCCCAAAGATGGGCATTGTTGACAAATTAAAGCACACGCATAAATAAAGTGTTACAGATATTGTGCGTGCAAAGATGACAGCAGCACTTAACATCTAAGAACAGTATTTGAAAGAGAATTTGAAAGGGTATTGACACTGCGTATAAATGTATTTGCTCAAACAGGTGTTCTGTGTTGCAGATAGTGTACATAACAGCTTTGCTGCCCTACATTCTCCTGACCGCTATCCTGATTAGGTCCCTGATGCTGCCTGGCTCTGGTGACGGCATTGCATATTACATTAAAACAGATTTCAGCAAACTGCTCAATATTGAGGTACTTAAATTGTGCGTGTTCTTCTCCCTTACTACCATGGTTCAGACATCAGTCATTCGTCAGATTCGTGAAATACCCCATCGGTGTAAAGTTACTTGAGATTTATTATTTCTTTTAAAGGCCAAAATAAATAAATCATTTGCTATTTGGGTCATCTGTTTTCCCCAGCCCATATGGATACATACAAGCGAATTATTTAATGTGGTTTAAAGTGTACGCTTTCAAACATGTCCGCCATTGATTTCTACAGGTGTGGTCTGAAGCTTGTCTACAGGTGTTCTACAGCCTGGGTCCTGGGTGGGGCATCATCGTGACAACATCTAGCTACAACAAGTTCACTGAACCTACATTAAGGTGGGTGGAAGATGCATCATATAAAGGGTAGCTCAAGGTGACAGATCTTACTGATTTATTATTGAAGACTCTTTCTTCATTAGATACACATAGTGAAATGTCTGTCGACTGTGGGTTGCATTTATGTATAAACAGCCCAACCAATATCAATAAAATATTTTGTCTCGTTATACGAATAGTAGGGAAGCATATAGCCATGTGCAAGCACCCAGGTGACCTTCAAAAACTGAGTATCCATGTTGATACTGAGATAACATTCTTTGATTCATAATTTTGTGTATGTGTTTCTAAACCGTATATACATGTAGCATATTCGTAATTTTGAGAGGATAAGACAATATGTATTTGACATTTTCAGGGATAGTATTATTCTGTGCATTGCATCAGAGGGCACAAGTATATTTGCTGGCTTTGTCACCTTCTCTATCCTGGGAGTCATGGCTGAGAGAGTCGGTGTGTCCATCACTGAAGTTGTGTCATCAGGTGAGGCATGTGTGTGCAGAAATAAACAAGTATTATTGACATAACAAGAACCTGAATACACAATGCCATTTAGAAAGTAGTCAGATGTAACAAATGTTATATTTGGGATAACACTTTCTTAGAAAAGTACAGATTCTCGTACTTTCTTGGGTTGAGTCCCAAATATAACATTTTCTAAATGGCATTGTGTAATCATAGCTTTGAGCCGTGCCAATTTACACTTGTCAGAGGGGTATACAAAGTACATGATCTAGACTTCCAGTTGTCGGACTTTCATTTTGGGGAAGCCCCGGTGGCTGAGTGGGTTTTGTGACTTTGTGTGCTGTTTTTTATGCGCCTCACCTTGGCAGTGGGGATTCGAATTCCGGACGGGACTCAATCCAAGAAAGTACGAGAATCTGTACTTTACTAGGAAAGTGTTATCCCAAATTATAACATTTGTTACATAACAAGAACAGTATCGGTTAAAAGAGGTAAGCAGTAATTGACGTGAGAAACGGAATATGTTTTGTCGTTGCAAAAACACCTATTCATGATTTGATGATATACAAATAAATATGTCTATCAATAGGTCCAGGATTGGGTTTTGTTGCGTACCCGGAAGCCCTATCACAACTTCCGCTTCCTCAGATGTGGTCGTTTCTGTTTTTTTTAATGTTACTGACCGTTGGATTGGACTCTCAGGTAAGAATAAAAGATTATGATAACGTACTATGATTACTGTGCACGTAAACAAATAGCGCTCAGAAGAGATACAGGAAACATGTAAAGTTTTTTTCAGGACTTTGAGTTTAATTGATCATTTCCACCGAGAAGGCTTATAACCATTAGATATGACAATATAATAAAGTCTGAACACAAAAAGAATAGATGTAAGCTACCTTGAACAGTGGCCTTGGACCATTACTGGCATGTGATCAGAAGTATACAATTAAAAACATGCTGTATTGCAGTTTCTGTTCGCGGAAATCGTGTCTACAGCCCTTATTGACCAGTTTCCAAGGACACTTGGGAAACGAAGAGGTTTGGTGACAGCAGCTTTGTGTGGCGTTGCCTTTCTGTTGGGTGTCATTATATGCACACAGGTAATTCAGTCACAGCATTGTTAATTTGTATCAGAGAGGAGCAAAGTTTCAATTTCCAATCTCATGGAGAACTCTAGATGTTGTTAGACATTGTCTTCTGAGGTAATGAGACACTGCCTCACACACAGATTACAATTGGACACTAGTATTTGCTGATGAATCCATTGCAGGCGATAGATGACATCAAATGTATTCACTTTGTTCAGCTGACATAGAGGTAACCTAGGTGTTGCGGCACTTTCAGGGTGGCACTTACATCATGCAGCTCCTGGACTGGTATCTGGTGTCTCTGTCGTTGTTCATGTTTTGTACCCTGGAGTGTGTGGCCACGGTCTGGTTCTACGGTAAGTACTCAAGCTCATTGCATACCATTGTATAAGAAGACGCGTGAATATTCGGGGTAGAATAAGTCTTCAGCAACCCATGCAAGCCATAAAAGGCGACTATGCTTCTCGTAAAAGGCGACTAACGGCATCGGGGTGTCAGGCTCGCTTACTTGGTTGAAACATGTCATTGATCCCAATTGCGTGGATCGATGCTCATGATATCAATCACTGGATTGTCCAAACTCGATTGTTTACATACCGCCGTCATATAGCTGGAATATTGCTGAGTGCGGCGTAAAACAACAAACAAACCAACCGACCATTGTATACGCCACAAAAATAGAAACGCGTCATGAATAAGATCACCAAATATGTCAGATTTTTACACATAGCGATACATAAATCATGAATATGATGAAATCTGCATGTGCATATCATATGCATTAAGAAACAGATCAGCAGGAAGGGAAGAACATTTGGTGCACATGGGGATGCCTACTTCTTGCCTAAATATCTTACCCCCAAATTTTACATTGATGTTATCAATGGGGAAGTCCAGCATTTGACATATTGTTTTCTCAGTGAAAAAGGCATTTGTTTTCATTTTTGACAAGTTGTCTTGAGCCTCTGAAGATAGATATGTAACTATATCGATTGTCACCATGTTTTGTAACAAGTGTCTCAATGATGAAGGAATGGAAGTTTGTGATGGGGGATAGTTGCCTACACAGATGAAAAATCACATGTTTCGACAGAATTGAAATTCAAGGAAAGTTTACGAGAGTCCCCCTGATATTAATTCCTCTTGACTCAAAACCTTTCTGTGAAAACAAAGAATGCCCTTCCTTGAAAGTATCAAGGATTATGGATAATCTTTGAGAAATGGAGTTGGTGGTACATTTGCTGGGCCCGGCAAAATAATTATCTTTGTGCGGATTTTGAATGACATTGTTCATTCACTTGATTTGGCCACTTTGTGGCACACACTGAAACAACGTCCATGGTTAATGTGAAACTATGACCCCGATTGATGTTTCAGGGCTCGCGGTATTTGGGGCCCTTCTGAAAAAAGGGAAACTTCCACAATTATCCAGAGATCTTCAGTTATATTGGTGCACTTAATGGCCTTCCACTACAATCAGTTCGCTAGTTTAAGTATCCAGGCCATTGTTCAATGACGTATCATTGTGTGAGTGTTTGCACAATGTAAGTATCCAGGCCATTGTTCAATGACGTATCATTGTGTGAGTGTTTGCACAATGTAAGTATCCAGGCCATTGTTCAATGACGTATCATTGTGTGAGTGTTTGCACAATGTAAGTATCCAGGCCATTGTTCAATGACGTATCATTGTGTGAGTGTTTGCACAATGTAAGTATCCAGGCCATTGTTCAATGACGTATAATTGTGTGAGTGGTTACACTATGTAAGTATCCAGGCCATTGTTCAATGACGTATCATTGTGTGAGAGTTTGCACAATGTAAGTACCCAGGCCATGTCTCAATGACGTATAATTGTGTGAGTGGTTACACCATGTAAGTATCCAAGCCATGTTTCAATGACGTATCATTGTGTGAGTGTTTGCACAATGTAAGTATCTAGGCCATTGTTCAATGACGTGTAATTGTGTGAATGTTTGCACAATGCAGGAATCCAGCAGCTATGTGACGACATACGCCTGATGTCCGGACGCCCTTTACCTGTCCTGGTGAAAGTACTGTGGGGATTCGTCACACCTGGAATACTTCTGGTACAGTACATGTACATATACAAATGTATATACAACTGGAAATAGCATCATGTTACTTTGTATGTAAAAGCTGGTTAATCACAGCGGCACAGCATATACCGTTTTTAACTCTTGAACACGCTGCGTGGACAAGGCGTACAAAAGTGGCCACCCATGCATCACGTTGCTGTGTTGCGTCATTCCGGTGTAAGTGATCCATGTCATTAGTATTACTTGACATTTTAGTTTATTTGATACATAAACAGGAACTGCTTTGACAGTTCTGTTCGAAAATAGAGATATATTGTGTTATCAGTGTCACCTATAGATTTAACCGCGCTAAAGTGAATTTAGCGACGGACGTCGCAGCATTTAAATCACAATATTTTATATTTCAATTCTGAATAATTAAATTTTCGTTGTCTTTATTCAAATTCCTGCATTCTGATTAGCTGAATTGGTCACGTGTTATTGCATTCATTTTCCAATTAATGTAAAAACTTAAGCAACGCCCACCGATGAGGACTACTTTTATTACGGAATGTCGGGGAATCCCAATATTACAGTCGGGGGAATTCCCTTTCTGCTCACGTGTATCGTCATGCAAAGGACGATTAGCGACTTTCATGATTATTCATTGTCAAAACTACCCGTTGAAACCGAAGGCCGAGAATGAATGAAACAGCAAACTTGCGGGCTCGCTCGCCTGTTTTTTACCCGCTCGCCTCGGTTCAACTTTCATGTCTTCGGGTTTCATTCCTAACTAGCATTTTTCCAACTGTGTTTTACCGTAATTAGGGAAGTAATGTTTGAATCTGGCGGTAACTGACCATGTTATTTAAAACAGCCGCCTTCTCCTGGACATATATCTTCCGGTTCGTTACAGTCTGACAGTTGCAGTTCTTTTCGCCTATTGCCTTAATTGACAGGTCCAATGAACAATGTTTTGATCCTACTCTCCGTTGATTGGCTACTGACTGTGTAGGCGTGTCAAGTTATGTGCATAAATTAAACAATCATCTGATTCATGTCGCGCCACAGTATGTATTCCTACACCTGGAATGTTTATCAATCTCGTCATTTTTGTCTATTTTGTAATATACAACTGTTTTTGGTTAAACTATTATAGTTAAAACATGTTTTACGTTGTCGAATATAATTATAAGCATTGACTGTGTATTTTTTTCGGTTCATTGGGGTATGAATCGAAGAACCGATGTGCAAACTTTTGTAAATATTCGCGGATTCATACAGTTTGCACATCGGTTTTTCGATTCATACCTAAATGAACCGTAATAAATACACAGTCAATCCTTAAAATAATTAGACGCACACGTTTTGATGATATGGAAGTTAGTGATTGAAGCAACATCGGCTGAGCTCTCGTTTGCAACTAAGACCTGAAATATACACGCTTACTCCAATTCTAACATGTTAACTGTCGAAAGTGTACTTCCACACATACTTTGAATATTGAAGTTTTTGATTTGGATGTTGTGATTGGAACCGCTGATTGGTCAGTCAGAATCAAGAACTTTCCAACTTTCATCGAACCATTAATAATACACTCCGAAATGTCAAACAACCATGTGGAATGTTGACGAACCGTTTTTCATTCGTCAACATTTTATGTCAGTCGAACTGCTGTATGAATATGATATACTTCTCATCCATTAATATGTTGTCGCACGTGGCTGATTGCAAATTGTTAACTGAAACTTGATAATAATACTTGCAGTACATGTAAGTTTGCTATTTCTGTTTTACACGACTGGCATATCTTCCCAATAAATAATATCTAAAGCTCATCTGTGAGCAGATTGGCTTGATACAACAAGAGAATGACGGAGAGCGGCCGCGTCATACCAAAATACTTTAAAACATGGTACTTGTTGTTACCCTGTCTGGCGCTCGGCATTAACAAGGACTGGTCGGCTCTGAGTCAGTGTTCTGTGTCTGAGTGGTGTCAGTGTTCGAGTCACCGGTTCGATTCCCCACATTTGTGAGGAGACCGCATAATATGGCCAAATTTTTTCAAAACTTCGAATACTCGAGTCTTGACCAATAAAAACCTGAATATGTGCACTCTTCCTTATACACATGGTTTCTACACAATGAACCAGTCGTGCCATATGACCAACCCGACCTGCCACCTACGTTATGTACATTCTTTTCTTAGATAAGGGTAGGGTAGAGACGACTGGTATTCTCAATATATTTCATTCATTGACCCACAGGTTGTGTTCTTCATGACGCTTGCTAACTACCAGTCGCCATCATACGGGAAGTACACCTACCCTACCTCAGCAGTCGTGATTGGCTGGATGATAGCATCTCTGCCTCTCATTCCCATCCCGGTGATGATGATAACACAATTACAAAAGCAACGAGGATCACTCAAGCAGGTCAGAACGTCGATCGAGGTGCACACACGTACAGAATCATTGAGTATCAAGTAGTTCGTTATACATGTACATGTATGTCCGTGAGTGGTCATGTGTTTTTGAGGCACAACATGTTAAGTCTTAAGACAAGAAGTGTTTCTCGGGCAACGGCGCATCAGTCAATGTTACTGCCAATATATAATATTTTCAAATTTCCCTCATCATAAGAAACTCTGTTATCCATACTTCACAATTGACATAGTATGAAAGAGTGGTTACATGTATGTATAGTCGAGTTGACAAACAGAAACTGCACTCATAATCGGTCATACGGAAACGTCCGGGAGCGGCCGGAAACGTCCGGAATCATCCGGGATCGTCCGGTCAAGTCCAGGAAGCGGTTATTTACAGACCGCCGTCATGTAGCTGGAATATTGCTGACAAACAAACATTTATAAACAAACTTGTCTGTAATTACCATTAGGTCCGCTTTGTTGGATAAAAAACCCTTCATGGCCTATTAAACATTTCTTACCTTGTTACTTGTACATTTGTTTTGGTTTTAGGCTGTGTTTAATTTATTTGTAAGTCATTAACATTGGATATTCTCAAAATCGTACCAAATTGAGAAAGACATGTTTTATTGACTGACTTGCACTGCATTATTTTACTGCGTGTGCGTCTAATGAAACCTCCCGGACGTTAAATAGTAAGACCCATTATAATATTATGTTTTGAATAAAAATATATACCGTTCCTAACGTTTGAGAGAAATGTCCCCGAGAAACATTTATCCGTTTTGTGCAGATTAATTCATATGTATTATTTTAAAATACTCACAATTTACTATCGAGTTTCGTGTTCTAGAGACTGCTGCAGTTGCTCCGACCTGACGGGACGTGGTGTCCGGCAAACACCCTCGCCACAAAGAATCACACCAGGCGGACATTTGCAGAATCTTTTAGATATATTTTTAAATCTGGAAAGAAATCTGTTGAGACAGCTCGCTACTAATACACATGTACGAATAAAGATGTCAAATGTAGAAACAGTGTTCTATACACATTAATGTAATTTCACGTAAGTAAACACTTGGAAATCAGGAACATACACTCCTGATATGCCTTTAAAAAAAATATTGTTTATAAGGGAGTGTTAGAATTACCATTTACCTAAAAATATATTTAGTGAAAATATACAAATTGAAATTTTGACGCCGGAACACAACGAAACCTAATAGGCAAGTAAACATGTGTTAATCAGCATTCAGCGTTTGAAATAACCAGCTGACAAATTCACCATATCCAAGTGGATACCACCTATAGTACTCCAACCTTGTGTTGTGACTTTTATGGTGTTGTAGGCACATTGTCATATGGGCAGATTGGCGTGTAGGCACGTTGGCGTGTAGGCAGATTGGCGTGTAGGCACGTTGGCGTGTAGGCACATTGGCGTGTAGGCACATTGGCGTGTAGGCACATTGGCGTGTAGGCAAATTGGCGTGTAGGCACATTGGCGTGTAGGCAGATTGGCGTGTAGGCACACTAGCGTGTAGGCAGATTGGCGTGTAGGCACATTGTCATATGGGCACACTGGCGTGTAGGCACATTGGCGTGTAGGCAAATTGGCGTGTAGGCACATTGGCGTGTAGGCAGATTGGCGTGTAGGCACACTAGCGTGTAGGCAGATTGGCGTGTAGGCACATTGTCATATGGGCACACTGGCGTGTAGGCACATTGGCGTGTAGGCACATTGGCAATGATACTAAACAGTTGTGTACACTGCAGATTAACCAATAACCAGAAGCACTGTGTTGCTCCCCTCTGAGAAATAGAATGAGGACAATGGCTCAAGTAATATAAAACATTAGTCATTCAATACAATATACATGAAACGTCAATGTCATAGAATAACCAGTCTCGATTGTCCGCCGAAACAGATTCAAGTCGACGTACAAGGCAAAATGCCGGTGAAAATAATATGTACACAACACTGAACATCAGTGGTAACACAGGTGTTCGCTAAAAGGACATGTCCTGCCACTGATAGAACCCGATAATCACACAATTTGCATAAAAAATGTTAGTGTTTGGCGCTATTATTAGCCTAGTTGGAATGAACTTGTCAAGGAGGTGTATGGAACTTTCCATAATATGTTTCTTTCAAAGAATACAGACGTTATCTAATATAGCCAATAAGGAACTCATAATAGGTTTTATTTGCATGTACATGTATATGCAATCTTAACAGATTACAACCTCTGCTAGTGCATATGTACAACATTAAGAGATTAAACCGCCCTCACCACTCGTGTGCAGCCCGTGACGCACGCATTGTGGAAGGAACAGGAAGATCCATGTTTAGCTCAAATTGGAGGCTGTAATATGTGTGATGTCATGACGAAAATGTTAAAACACATAATGATATATACTTGCTGATGTCTCCTTTTTATATTTGATTTTGTAGGAAAATATGAGTATTGTTGTGATGAATGAGATCCATCTTATTCATACGACCATTGGCTTCGACTTGATGTTTTCCGATGGTGTTAAGAGAATACATGATCCAGGAAAATGTTATTGTCGTGGGAAATTTTGTGCCATTTAACATTGAATGTCTGAAGTACGACTTCCAGTGATTATATGTATGAGGTATAGCGGGGCATTGTCGTTATTGCACGCTAAATGCTTTGTTGTGGTTTGGATCTCTTTTCTCAGCTCTATAGCCGTGAAGCTGGAGAAATGCAGCACTTTATTAATGAGAGTAGGTTATATCATGGATGACACATTAAAAGAAGGTGTTCAACTAATTGCCGTACCACAGGAAACGACCAGTAGACGTGAGCGCAGGATTGTGTATAAGATGACCGATGCAAAATGGCAGCCAGGAGAGGTAAACTTGAGCTTTGAAAGTTGAAAGGAATAAAGTAGTTTTGTTTTCACGGCCGGTCTGTTGAATAAACTCCAATTGTTACTGTATATATTTTTTCTAATTTATCCTTTATACATCATCTTAGCATTAACACTACATATATTTGTTCAACGTACATTAATAGTTTACAATCATGTGTTTTAGAATATTTGTCAATTGTGTTCAGTTTACATGCAATAATTGTAATTTATGGTGGCATTTTAAATATGAAAGGTCTCATGTAAAATATGAAGTAAGTTAGATGGTTAATAATAATATTGAAATCGCATTAAAATACAATATTAACAAGACACATTTGTAATCCTGGCTGATGGTCAACATGCCCAGTAGAGCCAGGAGGAAAACTGATTAATTACTGAGTAGAAGCTTACATACATGTAGGGACATCATCTGAATATGACTATATAAGTAAATGTTACAAGAACAAATGGGCCTAAGGCCATAGAGACAAAGGCTGTAGATAGCATACCAGTTGTGTGCTGTATATACAACGATACTTTGATTCTATAACACAGAAAATAATTACCCCGATTGTTACCGTATATAGACTAATAACGGTTCACGTTCTGTTTTCAGACGTGCCATTTGAACAAATATGTCAGGTGTAACATTTGCCACACTCTCTCCGTTTCTGGAGTATTTTGGCCATAAGTGAGAGCGATAGGCAGAGATATACTCTTAAAAAAAGAAACGCAAACTAAGATTTGTGTGAGGTAGGAAAATACATTTATACGAGGAACCGTACAAGCTATTGAGCCAAATGTTTTGGTGAGAACACTTGGTGATTGCAGTCATCTCAGTTATCGGTACATAGGAAAAGTCCAAGGTGAAGGTCAGGTACCATCAATGACGCGCATGTCCCCTGTTGGAATCGATAGCGGCCTGACAGATCCTGCCCATGGAAGAGACAAGTATGCGAATCACATCCAGGAGAATGGTAGCCCGTTCGGCCTGCAACGCAAAAGCCAACTGCTGCAACGTCTGGGGATGTGGTTGACGTCGGCGTAGCCGTCTATCCAATTCATCCCACAGGTGCCCTAACGGGTTCAAATCCGGGGATCTGGAGGGCCAGGGGAGAACATCAACGTTGTTGTTGTGCAGACAGGCTCCTGTGATCCCTGCTGCATGTGGTCGAGCGTTGTCCTGCTGGAATACACCGTTGCCGTTTGCTGCAATTGGGAGGACGCGTGGTAGGAGAATTTCGTTGATGTATCGTTGAGCCCTAAGATTGACCCTAACCCTACCAAATCTGTCCAGTTCTTGTACGCAGTTTCTGGCGAAACGTTCTCCCCGACGTCTTTAGACCCGTGCTCTTCCTTCCCCTCGACGGAGGAGACATCTTTATTCGTCGCTGAACCAGACATCTCTCCGCCGCAGTTGATGCCATACCCTGTGTTGACGACACCAATGCAATCGTTGTTGACGATATTGTCGACTTTATGTGACGCGTCGAACAGGACGTCTTGCTTGTACACCCTTCTGTTCTTAAACGGTTTCGTACGGTCTGGTCGGAGATTCTGCGCAGTCCGGGTATTTGGGATAGAGGAGTCCACCTACACTGACAAATGCCTACAGTCTAAAACAAACATTTATATGCTTCGGTGGTTTTACATGTGATACCATGCTACCTCTCTGCAGAGTTGAACTAGCCCATTTTAGTGTACTATTGCCTACAGTGACAAATGACAAACACTAGCAAATGATATTTAGTGTTTTTTCTTTATTCATGCATTTACTCTGATATTTCATACATCATACATCATCCATAGTTTCATTTATCATATTTCATGTACATTATGATTCAAACATCACATTCACACTCCCATTTTATCCAACATCTTACATTATCCATATATACATTTCATTCAGTTTCATCTGTCATATTTCATGTACATTAAATACATATCAGACTTACATTCATCATATATCATCTCATACATCATCCATATGTATCATTCATTTTCATTTATCATGTTTCATGTGTCACAGATTTGAACAAACTAGTTGCTTTGTTAGCCCAGTTTTACAACACATCCAGCTGCATCAAGGAACTGGAGAGGAGACTTGATACCCAGTCGAAGCTGCTCCTGTAGCCTCTCTAGTCTCTGGTTGATCTGTAGGTAGATTCTCTTGCGGGGTGGTGGACGGGCGCCATGGAGATACTGAGCAAGCTCGTTTCTTTCCGTCTTCTCTAGTCTCTGGATCACTTTGATGAAGGCAAAAATGTTCGGATGGGCTCTCTGGACGACCTTGTTAAGATGACAATGCCACCCTTCTAGATGATTGTTGGTTCTGGGGCCAATGTTGTCGTGATGATTCCACAATCCCAAACGAAACTGAGCATGGTCATCAATCCAGGTGTTGGTCGTGTAGTCATGGAACTGCACTCTTCTTGCTGTGGTCAGCCGGGAAGACAGCAGCATCCTGAACGTCGTCGAGTCAACTTCCTCGTCGTAAATTATCTGGATGGGAGTTGTCTCTGCTTGAACTCTCTGTCGAAGTGTGCTTACAGTCTGCAAAGGTCGTCTGGCTGATGATTATGAGGTGACTGATTCCTCACAAACTGGCCAACTGTTGTGCACCCACGTTGTACACATTTCCAGTGCACACATGTTAGCCTACGGTTGTTGAGTCTGTACCTGTAGCCAACTAGTAGGACTTGCTGACCACCTTTTTGTGACATATGATACTGGACCTTCTTCGGGTTTGCCATGTCTAGATCTCTAACATGCCAATTAGTAGTAGTATTATAGATTTTACGACCGCTTCAGCCGATGGCTATTTCGCAGTCGGCGCCAGACGGGTTTAGCAATAATAAATAATAGTGGGTAATACATAAGTAATCGGCTGGCCCAAAAAAATGTAAGTTTAGGGGGGTTAAAGAAGAAAGAAATATAGTAAAGGGGTGTGAAGGGAAAAGAAGTTTAGCAGTAGTAATGTAGAGCTGAGAGAAACCTAATCTAAGGGAAGTAACTAGTGCAGAGACTTGATATAATATAAAATCAGTTAAGCTGATATGCTAAATAATAATATGTATTATAAATGAAAAATAACAGTGGGGAAGGTGAAAAACCTATCATAAAAAGTGTGGGCTTACTGGCTGGGGTAGGGAGTCAGGAGAGGGGTGGGGGGGGGGGTGGGTATAGGCCGTGCGCGTGGGAGCTGAGCTTGGGTTGGTGGCTGGTTGAACGGTAATATTTATTAGAGTATGGATATGGGCGAATTTGTCGCGCGGACGTCGGAGAAGTCGGTCCGCGCTAAGAATTTGGATCCCGATCCTAAATTGTAAATGTGTGGGTTTTAGGCATAGCGTTTATGCTGTACTTTGTTGGGATTTTCCTAAAGTTTGCTTATTAGATTTGTAGTTTTAAGGAATGTAGCTATATGGGTAAATTTAGTGGTATGGTTAAAGGGATCTAGAAGGAGTTGGATGTTGTTTTTGAGCTGTGGGGGGAGAGAGTTGTAAAGTTGTGTTTGTTGTTGTTTATATTGTGAACAGTGGTTGAATATATGGTCTAGTGTTTCAGGTGTATTGCAGTGAATGCAGTTTGGATGTGGGTGTCTTTTTTGTTTGTAGAGTGTCTCGTTTAGATTAGTTTGGCCGCTTAACATTCTATTAATGACTTTATCTGCTAAAATGGACTTTGTGAAGTTTCGACACTTAGTGACTGGTTTATTAAAGA